TTCTCACTCCTCAGGGGACAGTTACCCAATTTGAATTTCATCTAAACTGCTTAGTTCAGTTGTGAGGAGGCCAAAACCATGCATGGGAGTCTGTCTGTCTGTCTGTCTGTCTGCCTGCTTGCCTGTCTTTCTCCCTCTTTCTCCTTCTCTCTGCCTCTCTCTCCCTCTCTCTCTCTCTCTCTCTCTCTCTCTCTCTCTCTCTCTCTCTCTCTCTCTCTCTCTCTCTCTCCTTCCCTCTCTCTCCCTCCCGCAGTCTCTCATTTGGTCCTACACCTGCTCAGTTTTCATCATGCAGGAATATCTGGAGCCATGCACACACTAGCTGCTCATATCTGTTGGCTCTTAACCTAGTGGTGGTGGAATCTATTGGCAGAATTCTTGTTCTGCCCTTTAACCCAAAATGAGATTCTTGAGGCCATGCAGTTGGCTCCAGGATCTCACAGACACACAGCACAAGAAGGGATAATGTATGAGTCTAGAATACTAGTCATGGCCTTCCCTTAGTCATTTCCCTTCCCTGGAAACCCCTTGAAAAAATGGTTAATGCCCGGTTTGACTCCACAAGGGCTCCCCAGGTCAGGAATAGCCCCCTTCCTCTTCCTTCTCTGTAGATATGATGAGGGCACAGCCAGTTCTCTCTTTCTCCTGTTTCAGGTACCTCTGTCCCCATCTCCTTACTCTAGATGCTCCTACGGGGTCTGCGAGAGCTTGGTTGAGATGTTAGGACCTCTGTGGAACTCTGGCCTATGTAACTGGAGGGCTCCTGTTTCTGTCCTTCACCCAGGCCTCAGGTCATGTTTTCCTGCAGGAAAGGCTGCACAGGGCCAGGGCATTATGACAAGTAGAGGGGACCCCTTTTCATACCAGATGTGTGCTAAGTAGGTACCTGGTACATTCCATTGGGTCAGCCTCATCATCTGGAATGTTCATCGCCATCCTAATTCCTACCCTCAAAGACCATCCGCTAAGCCCACATTCCCTTGCAGGTGTCAGGCCCTCATGACAGCCTTCAGACTGGAAATGAAGTGTAGACATCTTCTGTCCTTCAAAGCAAGGCTTTCAGCTGCCTTGTTTATGGGATTCTCTGAGCCATCTTTGGGCTGTGCACACACGTAAAATATGTAGCAGGAAACTGCTGCCCTTGTGTTCTTTCGTTCTGTCTAATTTCAATTCCCTGTCATGTCTCCTTAAATTGATTGCCTAGGAAAGCTGTCTGTGGAAAACTATGGTGTTCCCTCCTCCTGGGAGGATAATTCCAGATGGTCCCTGGCTTGCTGTCATTTCCTTATGGGGAGGCCACATGGGTGGGGATTTTCAGCCATTTATCCCTCAGCATCCTTATTACTCTCTGTCCTAGAGAGCTCCTCCTGGGCTGGGCTCTGCCCTGAAGGCTTCAGTAGATGGCAAAGCTCTCACAGACTGGTCTTCCCTGGGATAGGTAATCTCCTGAGGCCTTGGGCTGGGCACTGTCACTGTGAGTTGATTGTGGTTCTAGAAGCAGCCCATCTGGTGGCTGAGATTGCTTGCTGCAGAGGCATGGCTGCTGAGTGAACACAGGGTGTGGGAATGAAGGGTCAGGACTGAAAGCTTATCTGTACTTGGAGGGTGCAGGTGACCTCCCTGGAGGGGACCCTGAGCACCAGTGTAGAGCTGAGTCACTCCCTAAGATGTGAAAGCTCTCCTGTCACTACCAAGTGCTATGACTGGGGGGGGGGGTCTGAATTTAAGAGCCCAAGGCCAGTCCCTGACTTCTGAGTGGGGATGATGCCTGAAGCAGGAACCCATGGAAGCTATGAAAACCAGCATTCTGCAGAATCACCTCCAGCTGGGAGGGTCTGTCAGAGGGACAGGGTGACAGAACTGGGTCTTGTGTAGGTGCGTGCAGGGTAGATTTATGAAGATGGAGGTTAACCTCGTCCTGGGAAGAAGGAAATGGAAACCCCTCCTCATATCCAGAATCCTCTGTGTGGGCCTCTTTTCCTCTGAGTAATTAAAAATATATTATATTTATGGATGCACGTGTGGGTGCATATGTGGAGGTCAGAGGGCAGCCTGTAGGGGTTGGTGGTTCTCTCCTTCTACCATGCAGGTCCCAGGGGCCTAACTCACATCCTTAGGCTTGGTGGTAAATGCCTTTAGCCACTGAGCCATCGAAGAAGTTGCTAACCTTGTAGGCCATCTTAGAATGGACCTAATTCTACTCTAGTAACAGCCAACAGCTAATGCTCATCAGCCAGGACTGTATCATGGGTCTTAGGACAAGATGGTGAGGTCCAAACCCAGCGTTTCTCAGCTCTGTGAGGCAGGCATCAATCTGAACCGCCTTCCTTTCAGTCTATAAACTGAGGATAAGACTAGTTTGGAAGGAAAGAATTTGGCGGCTTACTTCTAACCTGTTTTCTGTTCCTGGGATAGGAAGAGTGAAACCAAAAGGAATAAAAAAATGACCTGGTCATTTCTCTCCTTAACAGGCCAATCCCACCTCAGGATAGCACTGGCGAGCAGGAAGGCAAGAGAGCATCCTGTAGGTTCAGTGCTGATAGTGGGAGGCCCCTGGTCTAGTATCAGTAGGTAGCCCAGGGCCGGCCCACAGGAGGGGTCAGGGGCCGCTTTTGGTCATCAGTGGTAAGAGACATGGAGGTCTTTGTGCTCACAGATAAACACTAGGGAAACCAGAAATGTTAAACACGAGGGGTTGTCTCTTTAGAGGGAGAGATGTTTCTGCCCAGAAGGCTTGGAAGGGAGGTGATTAACGGCTTGCTGACCTCGGTACTGTTTGTATGGCCAGGCCTCATGAGCTCCCAAAGATTTTAATGTTTATTTCAGTCAGTCTATAGCTATCTTCTCTCTGTCTCCAGACCCTTACCATGAAGTTTGTTTACAATAAACCTGCTGTCTCAGTTTATCTATATAGTCTGTAGAACCTATCTTTATGGAAGATGTCACTTGTACTTTACAAGAGCTTTGATGTAACCATAGGATTGTGTTAATCATCACCAAGAAACATTTTTCCAAATTGTGCTGTGCTTAAATATGCCTGAAATAAACCACCCGGTGTCAGACTCTTGAAGTTTGGACAAACACTGGTTACTGAGTCCTGTTGAATGGGATTTGGCTTCTCGACTCATATGCGTTGACACTCTGCTGGGCATGGTGCTTGCAGAGACCCCACAGTCAATGTGAAATGAGGTGACGTCCTGTGTAAGTGACTGGACAACAGCTGCCTGTCTCTCCTGAGACCTCATGTGCTACGTGTGGACCCAGGAGCACCCTCAGATGGCAGGGAAAGGCTGGGCAGCTGTCTTGATGTACTATTACATTCCCACGGTATTTTTGCGCGAGTCTAAGCATTTAGACACAGGGCCTCGCACACTGTATGCTCTCTGTAGATGCTGCTGTCCATACCTCAAATCTGTACTGGTGTTTATCCTCCTGGCCGTTCACTGCCCTGCCAGGTAGGTACCTGTCTTAGTTAGGGTTTCTATTGCTGTGATAAAACACCATGATCAAAAGCAACTTGGGGAGGACAGTATTAATTTCAGCTTACAGATCTAAGGCTACATTCTATCACTGAGAGAAGTCAGGACAGGAACCCGGAGGCAGGAGCTGATGCAGAGGCCATGGAGGAGTGCTGCTTACTGGCTTGCTCCTTATGGTTTACTCAGCCTGCTTCCTCATAGCACCCAAGACCAGCAGCCTAATACCCACAGTGGAATGGGTTCTCCCACATCAATTATCAATCAAGAAAATATACCATGGGCTTATCCACAGGTCAATGTGGTGGAGGGCATTTTCTCAATTGAGATTCCCCTCTTCCAAAATGACTCCCTTGTGTCAAGTGGACATGAATCTAGCCTGCACAATGCCTCCCTTGTCTTCTAGCCATTCTGAATACCCCACCTTCATGGTGTGGGTATATGTGTATGTGTTGGTGTGCCTGGTGTTTCCCTGACCATTTCATGCCCCCCCCCCCGCCATCTTATCACAGTTCCTTGATAGTTGGGATGGGGACAAAAGCTTTCCATCCAACAGTCACAAATAGGCACCAACATGGTAGTTGAAAGTAAGCAACACTAGATGAGACAGAAGTTTAATTCTGTTTGTTTTGCTAAATACCTAACAGGCAGGTGTCACCATGACTGATTTATAAGATCCTGGGGATATATGACTGACTGAGCCCCGGCCCCACAATTTTGTCTTTCCATCAACATAGAGAAAAAGCAAAGCAAGACTGTGAACATCCTCTCGGGGAGAGAGTGTGCAACCGTGTTGAATGATGCCCTACCTCTTAGCACCAGTCTGAGGGAGGCTCTAGCTGGACATGGTCACAAGGCCAAGAAAATGGCAAGGCTTTCAAGAACACTCCATCTTACAGAAGGGAAACTGAGGCACAACAAAATCAACAAACTTTCCTGGTTGATGCCCGGCTAGGGAATGGTAGAACTGTGTTCACTGAGATTCTGCCCAACCTAGCTATAGTCAGCAGGCACTGTGCAATGTGGTGGATAGGGGCTGGGTCTGCAGCTGGGGAGTTCCCCTGCTACTGAGTGACAGTGACCTTCCTTAGACCTGCCAGGAACCCCGTGGGAGTTTACTCTCAAGCTCTTCCAGTGCAGCTGATCAGCAGTGACTCATGCATCCTAGGCAACATCATCAGTGAACTTCCCCAGTACCCTGCACCTTCTCCAAGACACAGATGTAACTTGATATCTTTGATTCCTCACAAGTCGGTCCTAAGCCTGGCACACAGCACCGCAGGTTCATCATTATTGGGCTCTAGGCCTTTACCATCGGCAGGTGTGTCGGTTAGCATGCATCTGCCCCTTGTGGGCAGACTGAAGGCAGCCTACTGCACTTTAGTAAGGTCTAAAGCTGGGGCACGCCCTTTCCCCCAACATTAGGCTTTACTCTTCCTGAGCCCAAAGTTCCCCACCAGTGAAGGAGATATCTGAGCCCCACCCAATCCCCCAGGCCAGGCACAACGCAAGAGGGTGTCCTACCTGGGCCGCTGCAGAATGAGGCGATGACGGCCAAGATGCACACAATGCTTAGGTAAGGGACCCAGGGGGCTTTGTCCTGCAGGAGAAGGTAAATGTGAACCGGCTAGGAACAGCAAGCTGTCCAGGGACCTGCGTTTTTCCTGACTCCGCCTGTGTGATGGGCCATTTCATATCCCTAAGCCTCAGTTGCTGCAAATGGCAACCATCAGCCATTTTGCCCTCTGATTTCCCAGACGTGGGATGCAAGGAGAAGATGCCTGCAGAATCCCACAGGCCCCAGCATGCAGGAAATGGTAAGTGTACAAGTAACAGCAATCGAATGCTTTGTTCTAAGCAAAGCACAGGGGGAAACGTTCGGGTATTCCCACATTGAAATTCTCCCTGTTGTCATCCTTACCATGCAGAGCACTGGGCCTACACTCCTGCCTTCCCATGAGTGTGCAGAGCTAAACTCACTCATGGAACATCCAGAGGACCTGTCTCTCGCCTACAGGCAGGTGTTGAGGGAGCTCTGAGGCCCTGTTGGGTAGGACTTAGACCAGGGAGATTCCTGAGGCAGAAGAAAGACTCCAGAGCATCTTCCTCTCCCTCTCTCAGAACCTCAGAGGGCCAAGGACACTGCATAGCCACCCAGTCCAGGATGACATCTTGTCTGGGTCTGGGGAAATACTAGCTCTTACAGCACACTGTTCCCCCAAGGAGGAGCCAGCTCAGCACCACCTCAGAGGGACAGGCTTCTGACGTCACCACACTACTCTTGCCTCGTTCTGGGACTGTTTGGAACGTTAGGATATCTGACTGATGACCATGACGCCCAACGTTCAATGTTAAAATTTATTCCTAAAAATAATACCAAGACTTATCAGTTCAGTCAGTGCTTGATGAACGCAAGTTGCTCTGAGCAGGGGAGGGAGCAGAAGGGACAGATGTGGGGCTGGTAATCGAGACCCTGGGGTCCAACCCCACCTCCGCCATCATCCCGCTGCAAAATTCTGGCCACTTGTTTTTATGATTTGGACTTTCCCTATATAAAAGGAAACAGTCTGGGGCTGGAGAGATGGCTCAGCGGTTAAGGACACTTGCTGCTCTTGCAGAGGACCCAGGTTTGTTCCCAGCACCTACCTAGTGATTCATAACCACATTTAACTCTAGTTTTAGGGGATCTGACACCCTCTCTGGACTCAGCAGGCACCAGTTACACATGTGGTGCACAGACATACATGCAGGGGAAAACACCCATATGCATAAAAGAAAATAGTAAGGTTTTAAAAAGAGACACCTTGAATTTTGTCTCAATAGTGGATATTATTGTTCCTCCACATAAATACCCATGCATGCTCCTGGATTGCCCACATCACCACCCACGCATGCTCCTGGATCGCCTACCCTATGGGCCCATGCACGCTCCTGGATTGCTCACCCCACAGGCTGTCCATCAGTCCTCACAGCATCTCAGGCAAAGAGGACAACTTGCCCCTGTAGAGCTAAGACCCAAGAGGAGCCAGCAGAGGGGTAAGTGGAAAAGCCAGGATTCCACGTCAAGGAAATCAGGTGACAGGGTGGTCACTGAGAAGTCACCTGACAGGTAGTGCCCAGCTCCCCTTGTCAGGAGGTGATTACTGGAGGGATACCTTAGGGGCATCTAACATAATCCCTCCACTCCAAAGATAGGTAGTTTGAGGGTCAGGGAAGGGAAACTTCCTGCTCACTACAACACAGCTCATCTGCGGTTTTGACAGGACCAGAAGTTGGGTTTCTTGTCTCCAAGTTCCAGGAACCACCAGTATACTGAAAAGGAAGCTCCTTGGGAGAGATGTCTTACAGGAGAGATCTATTGAGAGGATGAGCCCACAAGCCAAAGGCTCCAAAGTGATGAAGCCAGAACCAGCTCCCTGGTGATCCCCGCAAAAAGTGACAGGCACAATGTTTCACCTGCAGGGTCAGGGTCACAGTGAGGGTCCCAAAGAAGAGGGCCATCAGCCCAAAGCCTCCAATGAGGAGAGGTCTCCGTCCTAGGCGCTCGATGACCAGGCCCTGGTGTGAGAGAGAGAAAGAATAGGGGACACAGTTATTTCACGTTGAGCCCAATAACAAGGGACCACGGTCCTGGGAACTGATGGTGGACAGCCATGGAAGATTGTGGAAGGCCATGGAAGATTGTGGAAGGCTATGGAAGGCTACAGAGGGCTGTGGAAGGCCATGGAGGGCTGTGGAAGACCATGGAAGGCTTTGGAAGACCATGGAAGGCCTTGGAAGGCTGGTTTCACACAGAGGGTGTGATCCAGGAAAACCACCTTATACTGGTGCAGCTTTGGAAGTATCCTTGGCCTCCTCCCACTGGCACTTGTGTCTGTCTGTCACCAAGGTGGGTAAAGACAATGACCCTATGCTATAATGACCATAGGCCACTGCCAGAGTCAGGCAGACTTGGATTGATATCCTGGCTCTACCACTTTGCAGCTATGTGGACTTCCGCTTGTGACTTCAGGTCCTAAAGTCTGTGACAGGGACAGAAACACCATTACCTCACCCACCCCACCCCAAGGCATCTAAGAGGCTGAATGGGTTAAATAAGGCACTGCTTGCTGTTTACATTGGGTGACTTCCCTTCCCCACCCCCACTGTTTCATAAGGAAAGAGCATCAAGGGTCAGAGAGATGAAATAACCTGGAAGAGGTCACCAGCAGGAAGTGAGAAGGCCAGGAACATAGACTCATGGTTGAGCTAGTCACGGAGAGGGTCAGCTCCGGCAAAGGCTTGAAGGTGGACAGATTCCTATTGAGGGCACTACCTTCTTTCCCTCTCTCACGGTCTTTTTTTCTAGTATTCTTTGCCCCCCACCACGACACACACACACAGAAAAGTTTGCAGTATTTGTTTTCTGAATCTGAATTATTTTGTTTGAAATAAGTATCTAAAGTTCCAATGACTTTCCTGCAAATGTCATGATCTCCATTTTCTTTATGACTGAACAATACTCCATTGTGTACATGCACCACATTTTCTTCCTCCATTCAACTCTCAACAGAAGAAGTTCAAATGGCCAAAAGACACTTAAGGTCATGCTCAACTTCCTTAGCGATCAGGGAAATGCAAATTAAGACAACTTTAAGATACCATCTTACACCTGTCAGAATGGCTAAAATAAAAAACACCAATGATA